AGAGAGAGAGAGAGAGAGAGAGAGAGAGAGAGAGAGAGAGAGATGCACGCGCAGGCGACGCACGCACTTGTCCCTATTCCGCCTCTTGTATGCATGTGCGTGCGCGCGTACAGTATCTATCCCCACTTTTTCGCAACCTCCCGCCATTATTCTTTCTTTCCCCTTCTCTTTCTGTGCTTTGAAGTTGCATAAGCTTATTAGGTACATACACAGGTCGATACATGTCAATTGCTCAACCGCATTCGATCTATCGAAAATATTTGAAACAAATTCAGTCGTTTGTTATAGTTTACAGAATGCAAAGCATTGTACACGTCATCCATATTTCGAATAATCGAAAAGACATTTGAATCTCACAAGGATGAGATTTATCGATGTATTCTTATTAGCCGTTGTATTCATTTTTCCATTCTTTAAACGGCGATTATAATTTTCAGCAACCATTTCGATAATCGTGTATTCTGTAAGTAAAAAATGAAAGATAAGAGCCGTTTGACTGGTGTGAATCATTTTACAATGGCAATATGCTACAAATCATGCTATCGTTACATCGAGTCGTACGTTTTACGTGATAATACGGCTAAAAGTTCTGGTTCATTTCAATCGACGCGAGCGAATCGATGAGACAATTCGAACAGGCGGTTCGTTCCACGCATCGATCGAGGCCGCGACGTTTTGTTTTGCGATGTTACATCTTATCTCGTGATCGTGTAACGAATGCTTTTTCGATTCCGATGTGACATGAAGAATTGTGCGAATAGAAAGATCGGATAAGAAAGATAAGCCAATCACAGCCCCGAACGCGATATTTTACGTGATTCAATCGAGCAGGCCGTGCTCGACTTGACGTTGGAAAGCGTGAAACGACATAACGAAAGTTCCAACGAACGAGTATCGATAACATATTAAACACGAATCAACCGTTGTGCGTATCGCGTGGAGGATCTCTTTCTCGACAACGTCCAGGTTCTTTGCCTTGGTTTTATCGTATTCACCAGTTTTCCGGGATAGCGCTACGAATAGCGTCACGAATAGCGTCACGTTTCTCGTAACCTCAATACGTTGTTGGGACAAAGTAACCAGAGCCTCGTCGAACACATGGCGCCATCGGGCATTCGATCTTCATTTTATTCGTTGCAAGTCGGCTAGACCGTTTCGTGTTAGAAACTTCGAAACTTCGAAACAAGGGAAAATTAAGGCGCGAGGGGAAGGGGTGAAGGTTTATATTTAAAAATTGAAAAAACACGATAGTAGCGATACATGAGTAGAAAAATCGTGTTCATGAGAATACTTTTCTTCATTTCCCCCCTCGAATGTATAGCGAGAAGAAAAGATGAAAGGGATAGCGAGAATAAGAAAAATTGGAACGAAGGGAGAACGAACACGAAGAGGAGAAAAAAGGCACGATGATGGTGAATCAAAGTGTCGACTGGTGAAAGAGAGAAAGAGTGACACGGGAGCGATTGAGCAGGGGGGCAGGGGGGAGGTCAAGGGGTAGAGTAGCGTCTATGCGGTGCACGGCAGGCAAAGGGTCGAGGGGAAAGGGGGTGTGGCTGTATCGGAGGGTGAAGTTGCGCGATGTGGAAAGTAACGGATAGAAGAGAGACAGGAGGATGCGCGCAGGCGTGAAACGTACGCGGTGAACGGTCGGCATCCGTGTGGCGCGAGTTAGAAGTTGGCTTTGCACTTTTAGTCTCGGCTCGTGTCCCTTCTCGTCCGTCCTCGTTTTCCCGATCCGTATAGGAGAAGAAGCGAGAAAGAGAGGAGTTGTTCCCGAAGCGGTGCGGAAACTATTTTCTTTCTTCCTTCAGATTCCGTCAAGCTTAACCGTCATATCAAAAAAAGAAAAATAAAAGGAACAAAGCGCAAGAAAAAGAGAGAAAGGGAAAAAAGGAAAAGAAAAGAAAAGAAAAGGAAGGAAAGAAGCGCGTCGGGCGTTACGATGAAGCGGATGAATTTTTTGTTCGGTGTTTACCGTCTTCGTATGAAACGTGTTCTTTCGTAGCACCGGAAGCGCTTTCCATTGCACCGGGCGAACATCGCGTTCGATGGAACGCGCCGGAACGGACGAAGATGTCGGAGAAGAGTGTCGAAACTGGGAAATCGACGCCAAACGACATTCTCGAGGAAAAGATAGGGAAAAAGAAAAGCACTGCGCAACGTCGATGGCAAATCCTTGCCAAGGCGTTGATCGGCCCTCAGGAATCGATCTCTATAGACGCGGAGGATGAGATCTCGGTTCGTCGTTTCACCAGTTTCGATCTGTTGAGAGTCGGTCGAATAGAGAGCATTACTGTGGATCAAGATTGCGCCGCTTGGTGCGAATATTCTACCGTTTTAGAAAATAAACTGTTCACGGTGGAAATTCGACGAATAAAGAAGAATTTCACGGCAAACGAATTGATCGGTTTCAACAATACCGGAAACATCTGTGTCTGGCCGTCGGAAGAATGTTTGGCTTACTATCTACTGAAAAACCGGCAGCTGTGTCGAAACAGAAGAGTCCTTGAACTCGGCGGCGGTATGAGTTGTTTAGCAGGGCTGATCGTCGCCAAGTACTGCAACCCGAAGGAAATCGCGCTGACAGATGGCAACGTGACCAGCGTGAACAACGTACGACGAATCATAGCTAAGAACGGCATGGCCGATTTCGTAGAGTGTGGCGTCGTTCAGTGGGCCAAAGCGGCCAGGGCGATCAGGGCAGCCAGATCGGTCAGGGCGTTCGTACACCCGCACCCCAACGGTCTTCGAGTCAAGGTGAATTCTTCCTCTCGCGTTTCGCGTCTCCCCTGTATCGCGTGTACATAGCTCGCGTATACGTATATTTCTCAAACGATCGGCTCGCAAATTAACGGCTCGCGAACGATAATAGAGAAGCGGAATACGCCGTGCGTATTTAGAGTACGCGCCAGGACCGCGAAAAGAACACAACACCGTGCGTTTGAGTTTTCTCAGAGCGTGTATCGCGCGTGCGCGCTTTCCTCTACTAACGCCAAGGATAACGCTTCCAGTTGTTTTCCCGACATCGAGTATCCACGCTCGAGTTTTGCTCTTGTTCACGACCGATCGTGTCTCGGCTTCTCGATGTATCGTAAAAAGCTTTCATCGTTTTAACGATTATCATAGGTTTACCCTCTATACTCTAATTATCCACGCGTTGTTCGCGTGCATAAGACAACGGTCCCGTTTTCCGCGCCAGTCGTTTTTCCTTACGCTCCGATCGTGACAAGTGGAGCACCGTCGTGTCGTATCATGATTATAACCGTAATCGAGCTCGAGGCAACATAGTCATTGTCGTCGTACGGTCGTCTTCGAGAGTTACATCGTATCGCGTTCCGATAATCTTTCCGCGATCGAGTCAAAACTGCGAAGTGCAGTGGAATTTCCGTTTCTTCCGTTAGATCGAAAGTTCTTCGAAGCTTCGAGCGTTCAACAAAATCCTGGGAATTTCTGAATTGAATTTTTACCGGTAGAACTGGACTGGTGGCGCCAAGGATGTTGCAAAATTTACGGAAAGACTGTACGACGTGATCCTGTGCGCGGACTGTTTGTTCTTCGACGAGGCTCGGTCAGACTTGGTGGAAACGATCTACGGGTTGCTGGCCAACGACGGCCTCGCTTTGGTGATGGCACCTAAACGAGGCTCGACTTTTGAAAAGTTCAGCGAAGCAGCGGTAAAGCGAGGTTTCGTCGCGCGACAAATGGACCGTTACGACGGAATGATTTGGTCGAGGCATCTAGAATTGTTGGAGCACAGCCAGGGGTATTGTCCAGACCTCCATTATCCGATTCTTCTGGAACTGAGCAAGCAAAAGAAAACGTCACCCGGATGATCGGTGTCGATGGTTAAGCACGCGGACAACGATCGCGACCCAGATCCAGACGAGAGTTCCGCCCTCTGGCCCATTTTTACTCCATTCCGGGCCATTCCCTTCTTCCATTCCGTTTATCAACCGACCAGCTTATTTTTTCCTTCATCGCCTTGCCCCTTTTCCCCCTTTTCCCCCTTTTCCTTTCTTTCTTCTTTTCGCTTCCTGCGCATTTTTTCTTCGCTTCGATTCGATATATCGTGTATCGAATATATATAGGGCGCACGTGTATACGCGTATGTAATCGCGAGTACAACGGAGTTATCGAATCGTACGGAAATTGATATTCGCGATTAAAGATGGCTTACTCGTTGCACGATACGCGTGGCCCGGACGAGTTGTAAACGATAGTATTTCAAGTACCTGACATTAGACTGATAAAGATAAAAAAATGGTAATCGCGATCCTCGCAATTACAGTTTCGATGGTTTACCGTTTACAGGAATAAGGACTGGCATTGATCGATAGGTGGCAATTATCGACATTTGCCAGCTTAGCACGGATCGTACCGATTGTTTCGTTTACAGAGAAACGTTATAAAAACGTTTTCATGTGATTCCCGTTTCGTTCGCCTCTCGTTAAGATCTTTCCAAATGAATCTTTCTCGAAAGATTGGTGCTAACCCAACTATCGCGACCTTATGCCACTTACGTCCGCCGATCTCTGTCGTTTTACTCATTTTCGAACACTTTTTAGCCATGTACTTATAAGTGATACAATTGAGGGTCCAAAATATATGGGACGGAAAAGATCGATAGCGTACGATTTTTGTACAAGGTAACCATGTATCGTTGCGCGTTTCAGCAATCATTTTCGATTCAAAACGAATAAAGGAACTTTTAAATTGATCCGATAAAGCGATACGTGTCGCGATAAACACTAGTCCAAAGCGCATGAATATTTATTCGTTTATTCACTTACCTAGTTGTTGTTTTTGTTTATCGATTTGCATATTTTCTTGCTTCTTTCTTTCTTTCTTTACATATTTCTTTGTTTATTTATTTGATGGTTTTTTTGTTTTTGTTCACGTAATTAGAATTCACATTACGTTGATTCAACGAGGAGCGTACTTTTAGGGCGGTCAGTACCTTTATTAATAGAAAATAGGTTGATTACCCAAGATTACTCCGTCGATCTATGATATTCTCGTACTTTTGTACGTTCTTTTTTTCTTTTCTCCTTTTATCTTCAGTTTCCTTTTTCTTTTCCTTTTTTCTACCTTTTTCGACCCCACAGGTTATGGCGCAGATCGAATAACTACCTTAAAAGACCAATCTATCATAGTACAGCCTAGTCAAAGCTACCAAACTTCCATTATCGTGTATTACCTACCTGTACTTTTACAAAAACGATAACATGTATTTGTACGTGCACGCATCTGTGAGCATAGATATATACGTGCGTACCAGATTGTAAAGAAATATTATAAATAAAATATTTTCACTTAACAACCTCTCAGCGTGACGTCTCGTAATCGATCGAGCTACAAACAGGTCTGACACTGATCTACGCAATTTTAGTTTGTCCATTTTTCATCGGATAACGCGTCGTTCCACGGAGTATGTACTTACATATGTATTTCTGTGTACTTACATACCTACATACGCTACTTTCTCATCGACTTTATGAGAAAGTATCATTACGCGTTTCATATTTTATTCAATTACGATATTACTTTTTGTTATCTTTGTTATCAGTGTTGTCGTTATTTCAACTCTCTCTCTCTCTCTCTCTCTCTCTCTCTCTCTCTCTCTCTCTCCCCCCTCTTTTTTTTTCCTTTTCTC